TTATGAACATACAGGAGAAAGTAAAAAAGGTAGTTTGTATACGACTCAAGTGGCCCATCAGGCCGGAGCTTATCCCGGTTTCTGTAGCATGAAGTAACTAGGAGTATTTCTACTCCCCCTGATGGGATGCTAGTCCATCGCAGGGTAACCTCCAGGATTAAGTTCGTCGGTACCCATTTATACACCTGAGTGGAGAGAGGCACTGTGAGAGTAAAGTGTCTTGCCCAAGTACACAACACAATGTCCTCGGCCAGGGCTCGAACCCGGACCGCTCGATCCGGAGACGAGCGCAATACCATGAGGCCACCGCGCCTTCCACAACATACCCGACTACTCACACATAATGCCAGCTCTCTACGAACTTTATTGGCGTCTCATTACTTATCGAATTAAGTAAATTCTTACCTTTAAATCAATTTACGGACTAGCGCCATCTTATCTTAGTGACGTCCGCTAAAAGTTAAGCAAAAGAGCTCATAGTCCTTACGCTCTAAAATAGCCTGCTGTTAGAAATTCCACGGGAGAGCCCACGGGAGACAATGGGCCCAACACGTGGCGGCAGGTCTTTTAATTACTTAATTTTGCTGCACCGGCTCCATGGAGCGGCCTCCCGGCTAACCTGCGTGTTGTCACACGACTTATTTCTGTTTCGGGTTGGCATTTTAATGTATATTTGATGCATTTCTTGTTTATTTCCTATTTATTAATAAGTTTTTTTTTATTATTATTGGTTAGTCTTCAAATAATTTACTGTGAAAAGCGCTATAAAAATTACTAAGTTATTTATTAATTAATATTATTAAAATTTAAAAGCAATAAGAGACATCAATTTTCAATGTCACTCAAAGCCCTAAATGTGAGTAAATTAAAATCCCTGACTTGGTGAAATGAAAACCCGCGGAGTCATTCTTGTCGTTGGCTTCTCTTTCCTTCTTTTCATGTTTGTTTATTTATTTTTTTTTGTTTAACTGCAAGGTTCAAGTAATATTTCACGAACCACTCCTCCCATTGGTCAATTTGCCATCTAAATCACCGCATTCGCAACGTGACGTTGACTTCAGGAAAACATCGCCCTTTGTTACCGGTTGGCTAAGATGTTGTTTCCGCTAACTGGTAACCTTAGCTACTATTGTTTTCGTGACGTATGTTATGCTTGGTGAAACACACTGCCAGTGAGTAATTATCACGTACTTTGCATGACGCTGAACTGAAAATGGAGGAATAAGGAATAGTTGAGCACATATCACACTTAAAATGTCCGACCGAGATATGGGCGACTCGGATTCCAACGCGACAAATTCGACGGTAAACGTTCGCGCTGGGGGATATCGTAGTCTTATATCGCGAATACGACAGAGTCCAATGGTTCAAACCAAAAGACCTCAATCAGGAGGACGACTCCAGCTTCAAGATGAGTCACTTCGGTTAGGCTTGAAAATGGTTCCCTTACAGGATGGAAACATCGCCTTTCATCGCGCGGCAGCAAGTGGAAATTCCGAAGAAGTGCGGAAAGTTCTGGCGGAGAAAAAATACGACTTGGACGCGTTGGACGAGTACGGTTTCACGGCACTGCACTATGCAGCTCAGTACAACAAAGTTTTCATCGTCAACATGCTTCTTGATTTCGGTGCTAGAGTGGCTGTTGTAGGCATAGATGGATCAACTCCCCTTCATCTTGCCGCGAGGTGAGTGATACCGCATTGCTACAACGTGCTGATGTTATATTTTTGGCACATACATCAAAACTAACGCACCTCTAAAACTCATATCTGCGATTAATTAAATTACGTATTTTGAATGTTAACTGTATACGAAATTAGGATGTCCTATGGAAAGTCAACATTTGAATGAGTTTTTAGTTCAGTTTGTTTGTTTCTTTTAACACTGTCGCAAAAAGTCGACGACAAAAATGCCGGTGAGATTTTACGGAGAACTAATACTATGTACGAATTATTTGTACTGTATATGTACCTGTTACTCTGCGTACTTAATAGCCTACGGCCAGAAAGAAAAACCAGAAAAATTGCCAGAAAGTTTGCAGATATGATCTTTGCCATTTTCTATGTTAAATATTCTGGAACCCCATCGTCATTCTCGGGTTAATTTTCACTTCTCTAAATTTCCAGTAACGGTTCAGTTTATTTTCAATTGCCTAAGGCTGATTCAGATCTCATTATTTTGTGTTTTTCAAAACAGATTTGAAAATCAATGAGCGCGATCAATTTCTTATCGACTGTTGCCGTTAACTCGATCAAGCAAATATTAAACAAAAACCCAAGTTTTACTCAGTCAACGTTAAAAGTTTTCTTTTGCTGAACTTCACGTTAAAACACTTAGTATTCAAGAAAGAATAGATGGTCGCCTTGCTGTTAAATGTGACAGCATTGTCTTTATTGTCTTGTAGAATCCAAATATGTGTTTCGTGACGTATTCTTCCTCTCTCGTAGTATGAATAACAATGACCTTCTTTGGCTGCGACGCATTCATTACCTGCTTTATGTATGTGCAAATTAACTGGCCGGAGTCACGGAAATACACAGACAGTCCTGTATATTTTAAAGATGCTAAATTTAGAAGCCTAGTTTCAAATTTAATTTTTATGTAACACTGATAATGCAAAATGTCAAAAAGGAAAGCTGTCGAAACGGGGGAGGCTCGGAATGTTCATAGCTGGAATTGTACGCTGGAACGGAAATGCAGGAATAATGAAAAGGCGGAATATCTAATTTGGATACGTATCTACTATGACCTACTGTGTGGTAAAAACGTTTAGCCTTGGTAGATAATTCTCCTGTTCAATCACTCACGATTGGAACTCCTCCTTCACAGGTTCAACTCCATGGATGCCCTTCTGTCGTTGATTGGATCAGGAACTAAAGTTAACGTTGCAAACAGCTTGACTGGGTCGACAGCTTTACACGAGGCCGCGGCGTTTGGAAACAAAGAAATCGTTGAGCACCTCCTTAAGAACGTTAATGCCGATGCAAACGCGTCAGACTTCAAAGCCGTGACTCCTCTTATGCATGCCAGTGGTGCAGGTTACAGCATCATCTGTCTACTTTTGCTGCAGTATGGGGCCACGATTGATATGTGTTCCGCGGAGGGAATGACGGTGCTTCATTTTGCTGCAACCAATAGAGATTCGTACGTCACACAACAGATAGTGGAAGCAGGTAACGAAGTTCATGAGTTCAAGCATTCCCTAAGAATTTCGCTTCCGAGGACTTTTTCGAAGCATTGTATGTGTGAGGAAGGGATTGTGAGGGAAATGGAAAAATAGACGGGTGAACGAGAGAACAAAAACCGTTTCGTTACAAATACGCCTGTTAGTTCACGGACATTTCGAGCCGGTGTTCCTGCAATAATTATTGCAAGACATGCAGCGCAAATTAGGCGATCTATTGGTATATTATTCATGAACGAACAGTATTCCGCCGCGCTAGGATTTTCCGCTTCAAGTGTATTCTTATAAGTACTTATGTCATTCGAGAGAGCAATTAGCATGAAACGTCCACTTTGGGGCACCTAAACAGCACTGGTAAACCTCTTTCTTCAGGGATCATCCCATTAATGGGACACTGGCTTCTCGTTCCCACTTGTTCCCACTGTACTGGGACTTTATATTGTCATAAGCCGATACTTTCAAGTGTACTCCTCAGGAGGTCGAACAATTGGCGTTGTATGTAGTCGTAATAGCTGATGAGAAACTACTATTTACATTGTGTAAAAGAACAATCCATGTTTGGCAAATTTGGTAATCAATTCGTCTACAAGTTTCTTTCAAAATAAATCGATTTCAGAGTTCTGCCGAGATTCGGATGTGAGACAGGTGAAGTGAAGTGGCTTTTCTTTGAAAAACTTGGCTTCTTTGAACTGGTTTTTCGAGGTTTCTAGCTTGACGAAATATTTACGCGAATAGTCTCACTTTTCTCTTTTGTATTCCCATCCGATTAACTTTTTTCTGCTTTAAAATGTTATAGCAATTCGTCATTACTTCAAAAAAGAGCCCTCCGCTGTTTTAAAGCCAGACAGCAGCCCAGACTTCAAACAGTTCATCAACAGATGTGACTTGGATGGCAGTACGGCACTTCATCTCGCCGTACAAACAGGCTCCAAGGAAGTGTCCCAGGTCCTTATTCAATATGGTGCTGATATGAACTGTCAAAACAAGAGCTTGCAGAAACCGATATACTTGGCAGCGGTCGGAGGGCACCAGGAGGTGTTAAAAATGCTGATTTCACAAGGTGGAGACGTTAATGCAAAGGACAGCCTACAGAAAACAGCTATGCATAGGTATCTACTTCTAAACTCCTTTACCATTAAGAACATAACCATCTACAACGGCTACCCTGGGGCAGAGTGATCTAGCTGTTACAAAGAAGAGGACGTTATAGGGAGGATTGACTGGTACTATTTATAAAAGTCTCAGCTTAACGTGCATTCAACTCGACTGCTTTGTCCTTTTCAAATAAACATTTTCTCTAACATGGCAAGCTTTGTATGCGTTTTGTCTGCCTCTTCTTTGGCGACTCCTTGCTGAAAATAAATTTGAAAGTTGGAGGTCTTGGGGACGATTATTGATTTGAGAATAATCTATCAGTTCATCGTACTAATAAACGTTACAAATTATTTTGTTAGAGCTGCTGCCTTAGGATCCGTGAAATGCATCGAAATTCTCCACGAAAAAGGCGCTGAAATTGACGTTAGAGACCAGAATGGCCAAACGCCTTTTCACCAAGCGGTTGCTGCAGGACAGACAGACTGTGCCAAATTGTTCATATCATTTGGCGCGAAGCTTTCAGCCCAAGACAAGCGCCTGCGTTGTTGTATACATCTTGCAGTGGAACATGGCAGAGAAGAGACTCTTAGCATGTTGCTAAGTGAGACTGGGTCCGACTTGGTCAACATACCTGATCACAAGCAGAGGACGTCTCTTCATTACGCTGCTCGTGTTGACAACGCGAAGGTATTGATATAAATAAAGTGTTAAGTTTGTGAAATGGCTTCAAAAGTTATATGGAATTCTAAGACCCTCTTTATGCTTCTAAAATATGTTTCGGTTCCGTCTGGGGAAGCTAGCTGTACTTTATTAGTAGCTAGTGTCTTTTGTGTGACTCGTGGTATCGCATATTATTGTTTTCCTGGTGTTGCCGTTACTCGACAGCCCGACGAAACGAAATACCCGCCAGTTACACAGCCTAGCGCTTCTTGTCAGATGTTAATGCAACCTTAGTACATCTTTCCAAGGATCGCCTGTTGATATGTTTTCTTTTTCAGAGTTTGTTATTTGCTGCTTTTATTTTATGTGCAATTTTTTTTTCCTCCTTCCCTTCCCTCCTTCTCCTCCTCTTCCCCCTTTTTTCTCTTCGTTACTAAATACCAAAACAAGTTTCCTCTTCAACCACCAACAAACATAAGTACCCAATATATACTTGAGAAGCGAAATCTATCTTTTGGCATTTCTCTAGTTATTAGAGCTTCTACTCGATACCAAAGTCAATGGTTGTGTTCGAGACGCGAAGCACAAAACACCGCTTCATGTAGCCGCTGACCGAGGTACTGCACGGCAGGTTAAGGTTCTCACCCAGGCTGCGCCTTCTTGTGTTTGGCTGCGAGATGACCAGCGGAGGACACCATTACATTACGCTGTTATTAGCATGAAAAGGTAAAGTGTAGATTGATACAATGTGTTTTATTGTAGCAATACGGCTTTTTATTTTGTAAGAACGTCACAGTGCTTGTTAAGGTCATTCACGTTTTGTAATTTCATAGGCGAAATATTGGAAGTCACGTTTGTAATGTAAAGAGCTTGTCAACGTGAGGTGCTTGTCATTTGTCAGCTCAGCATGAACTGGTTTTGATTACCGTTGAATGATGGAAAGTGGTTTCAGCAAACAAACTGAACAAGATGGCGCTTGCCAATGCAATCAAAGCTCAGTTCCCGGCTTTTGATATTCGTTGATGAGAGACTGGAAATTGGACAAGCGAATAGAATTTCCTGATAATGTTTGTGCCATTTGATGCTTCTACGAAAAGTCCGGAATTTCGGGATAAATTGCGGGATTTTGGGATGAAAAGCAGCCATGATTAACCAGTTAATGTTTGTCATCACTTCATCACCTTGCAGAAAATCCTGCGTCACACTATTAGAGATGGGTGCCGACATCAACAGCCCTGATACCGTGGGCTGGACTCCCCTGTTGTGGGCTGCTAAGGCCGGAAACGTCGGCGTTGTAGAACTCCTTCTCGAGAGAGGCGTGCTCACAGATCACGTGGATATCGATGGTAACGCGGCACTTCATGTAGCAGCACACTTCAATCAAGTGGAGACTACCAGGATTCTGATGAATTATGGGGCAAGCTTGCTGCTACTCAACAAACGTGGAATGACATGCTTGGACGTTGCTATGGAAGCGCAGAATAATGAAGTGGTGATGGTTATTGTCAAACATCAAAGGTATTGTACACTACCAAACATTTTGTTTATCGTTCAAATTCGATTCCATTTTTTTTTTTTTTAAATTTTCTATTTAAAGATGTTGCGCTGTCAATTAGCTTCATTTGCCAAACATTGTCACAAAAACTGACTTTCATACAACATTTCTAGGACAGGAACCCAAAGAAATGTTTTTTCGCTGTCTCACTGGACCAGTTAAATTTAAAATCTTAAGTAAACTGAGAACCATTTTGATAGAGCAGACAGACAAACAGACCATAGACACAGATAGGCAGACAGATAGGTTGACAGGTAGGCAAGCAGACAGACAGAAAGACGGACAGAAAGGCAGTCAGACAGATAGACAGACAAACACACACACACACAGGCAGACAGGCAGACAGACAGGTAGACAGGCAGACAGACAGATAGACAGAAAGACAGATAGACAGACACTCGGACAGATAGACAGACAGGCAGGCAGAGAGGCTGACAGACATATAGACAGACAGAAAGATACACAGACAGTCGGACAGGCAGACAGACAAATAGGCAGGCAAACAGACAGAAAGGTAGACAGGCAGGTAAACAGATAGACAGACAGAAAGGCGGACAGAAAGACGGACAGACGGACATACACACAGGCAGACAGTCGGATAGGTAGACAGACAGGCATCAGACAGACAGCAGGAAAAAAGAACAGACAAATGGGCAGTTAGGCTCTCACTTGTGGTTTCATAACGAGGATCTTCAAGACAACATCGTGTTTGCACAAATAACAATTTCAAACAAATATTCCGTTGCCACAGCGTACGTGTTTGCTCTTAAGTCATGCAAATTTCTTCCATTGAAATTTGTGTGTCCCATCGTAGATGGCGTGAAGTTCTAACAGCTACGAGTGTCAATCCTAATCCAATGGGAAGGTTAATCGAACATTTTCCAGATGCCGCCCATGTTGTCATGGATCGGTGCATCCAAAGATCACTTTCTGAGCGCTCCATCAAGTATGATTTCACCCTCCTAGATCCAGGTCCCGACGACCAAAGTGGCGCAAAAGCGGAACGTTTCCTGGGCCTGTCGACCATGGTGAAACATAAACAACAGCTTCTCCTGACTCACGCGCTCTCTCGTAAGCTGATGGTGTTGAAGTGGAGGAAGTTCGGCTGGTTTGTCTACGGAGGAAATCTCTTTCTTTATTCAGTTTTTCTCGTATTTCTGACGATTTTTGTTCTGACGGAGAGAGAAACAATCGACTTTCCAGAGCCTCCAGAGCCTGGTGAAGAGCCAGATATAGAAGATGATTTCTTCCAAGAGAGAAACAGTTTCAACCAGGCTGTGCCCTACATCGTCATAATATTTGCAGCGTTACACCTTGCGAAAGAGCTTTATCAAATTTACTCGCAGAGGTTTCGTTACTTCACAGAGTGGTCCAACGCCTTGGAATGGACGTTGTACATTACTGCGTCATTGTTCGTTTTGCCCTACGTTTCTGACCCCAATACTTTCAGAAGTACTTACGCTGTGTACTGGCAGATGGGAACGTTTTCTATCTTTTTTGGCTACATCAACCTAATCCTTATCATAGAGCCACTTAAGTACGTGGGTTTGTACGTGACCATGTTCCTCGAAGTGATGAAGACCGTGCTAAAGGTTTTGTGTTTATTCGTGATGTTCACCTTGGCCTTTTCTATGGCGTTTTTTATTTTGTTGAAGGAACAGGTAAGTGAGCGAATCTCTTAAATATTTAAGTATGTTTTAGTGCATGAGTACACACGATCAACTTTTTGGCAGGGATGTGTTTCGTCCTTAGTGGTTCGTGTTCATCGAAGAAGAATGTTGTAAGTTGAAAAGCTCAGTCACAGTATTTTGAGTTGAAGAAACCTTAAAATAGTTGTTTATTAAGAGAGAAAAAAACACCAAAAAGATTATTATAAACCATAAGAGGACTGGCGGTTGGTTAAGGCTGGATATGATTTTAACACGCATTGCAAACGACAAACTAAATCAAGATTCGCAAACCATGACGTAGCTCCATTTAATGCATCAGTCAATTCCAGCAGTGCCCATCCCCCCCCCGGACAACCGCGGGGCATTTGCTCACGTTGTCAGTCCCGGGGGTGGGGCATCCGCAATTTTATCGCGGCCCGGGGGCTGGGCATTTGCGATCCCCGGGCACTCGACACACGTGTTTTGGAAAGTGCCATGGATGAGTTCATCGGGAAAGATGAGGCGTTTGT